ACCAGATTAGCATTTTATTTTTCCCTTCTTGACACTCAAATTCATAGGTGAAAACATAATAGAACATAATCAAAATAACATATAAACACAATTCAAAAATGTTTAACCATTTATTATAGCTCTTTGTTGTAAAACACACAAAGATAAACAGAAACATCTTCATATAACTTATGCTTAATAATCTGTATACACTGTAAAACAACTGAAAATTCACACTAAGATCCTAGTGCAAGCAGTGGTGTACAAAAGTGCAAACAAGGTTAGTGATTAACAACTTACCCTCAATTTACCACTTCAACATACTTCACATTCAGCCAAATACTGAAGGCCTCACCATGGAAAAATATTTTATCACTTTTAAAGTAACCTGACTACATTCACCCTGAGTGCTCTTGCCTCAGCATGGCAACTGATTATGAGTTCAGGTTGGGAGCAACACCAGGGAATACAGAAACCCATGTTAAATTGGCCATTCTGACATGAATCTGTACTCAAAAATGAAAACAATCCCAAAGAAAACCTGTATGTCAAAAACAGAACTGTTCCTGCCTTTCACCCCCAAATATTTTAAACTAAATCCAAGCCACTATTTAAAATGCATGCTGGCCAGGCGCAGTGGTTCACGCCTGTAACACTAGCACTCACTCTGGGGTGCCAAGGCAGGCAGATCATGTGAGGTCAGAAGTTCGACAAGCCTGGACAACATAGTGAAACCCTGTCTCTACTAAAAACACAAAAATTAGCCAGCTGTGGTGGTGGGCGCCTGTAATCCCAGCTACTTGGGATGCTGAGGCAGGAGCATCACTTGAACCTGGGAGGTGGAGGTGATAGTGAGTGGAGATCACACCACTGTACTCCAGCCTGGGTGACAGAGCAAGACTCCATCTCAAAAAAAAAAAAAAAAAAAAAAAAAAAGTATACTGAAGAAGAATCCATCTACTTCAGTGCTGCAGCTTTTCCAAAAATACTTCTGTGCAAACTCAGTTTTCTATTTCTGCCCTAAAATCTATTTGGGGCAGGGGACACACCAGAAACAAAGTTGGCTTTGGATAACTTCACTTACTTTCCTTTGATTACTTTGGATTCTGTTTAATATAGTATGATGAAAGCCCTGAACAACAATTAGTGGCATTAAATATATTAGCTACTTAATGCTCTACATTATAAGGACACAAATTAATTGGTTCACAACTGCATCTTTAATAGACTCTGTAGCTTCCCTTGACACTGGAGGATCTTTAAAATCCAGGTGTTAGGAGGGGATTTCTGAGGGGGAATGGTTACAGGGTTCAGAAGTAGAAACATGGTTTTAACAAAATCCCAGTCACTTTACACAGAGGCAGAGTCAGATATTCAAAGAGGTGGTTCTTCTTTTATTTGGTTAAAAAGCACTAACTTAAATTTCAAAAGAAGGATAATAATGGAAATGACCAGAAGCATAAACATGTAGTTTTAGGCCAGCACAGTGGCTCATGAATATAATCCCAGCATTCTGGGAGGTTGAGGTGGGCAGATCATTTGAGGTCAGGCATTCAAGACCAGCCTGGTCAAATGGTGAAACCCAATCTCTACTAAAATTTAAAAATTAGGTGGATATGGTGGGGTGCACCTGTAATTCCAGCTACTCAGGGTGGTGAGGCATAAGAATTGCTTGAACCTGAGAGTTAGAGGTTGCAGTGAGCTAAGAATCATGCCACTGCACTCCAGCCTGGGCAACAGAGCAAGATTTCATCTCAAAAAAAAAAAAAAAAAAGAAAGAAAAGAAAAAAACAAACAAACATGCCATTTTGATAATTTAGTTCTTAATTGAAGTATACTGTTTTTCTGAACTCTTATATTTATAGCAGAGCCTCTGGCTTTTAATATAGACTACATTTTATTACCTATTAGTTTTGCATTAAGGAATTTGTTTGCTAATTTGTATTTTTTCATTGTTTCTTGAAGATTTTTTGATGCTTCACCAACTTTTTACATGTTTAAAATGATTTAAATAATATGCTCCAAATTAAATAAACAGAAGGAATTTTGAGAGATTTCCCTTTATGTAGCTATTCTCAGTACACTCTGGTCAAACTTTACTTGGCAATAAATCCTTGCAAACTTCAGTCATATAAATGACTAACAAGACCAAAATACCACATGAGTCACATACCAAATACAGTTTCAGAAAATGTAAACCTTTTTCCTGAAACTCTCCAATCATGTTAACTAGAACTATACTGTTTCTAATGATGGAACCTGTGAAAATGCTTGGTTTTGAATGTAGCTAATAAAATCATTTTCTAGAAGGCAAGAAACACTATTATCACAGTTATCCCTTATTTTATCTGCTTTTATGCTATAAACCACACACAAAAAAAAAATTGTATATGGATGCAGGCGCACCAAATTAAAATTTAGGTCTACACAGGCAGTATCTGCATTCACATATCTTTGGCACTCATACAAAGATAATGGTTTAACCAAGCCAATAGTGAATATTTTTTTTCACATACTTTAGGAAATGTCTATTCCCAATTTTTAAAAATGCTATAATGTCCATTCCAAAAATTCACTGAGATAAACTGAAGTCTACCAATTTAACCACCTATGATCCAAAACTGTAATTAACAGCTGTCAGTGAAACAGGTGTGGGGTAAGAATCTCTTTAAATGTGTAAAAGTGGGTTGAGACCTTATATTTTTACATTTCGGACTTCAGATTTTAAAAAATCTTTTGGACAGTGCCTGAATCCAGTCTGAACTTGTATACCACAGTGTTAACAACTACCCCCTAACATTTTATAGTGTGGGACAAAAAATTAGCCTATGTCCCTAGTACTAGTATGTACCTGGAAAATACTCCCCAGTCGCACATATCCACATAGGCACACACAGAGTTGTCTTCCTTCTGTGCTTCTACTGTTTCTTGCCATCTTCTTAATTTGGCTCTCTTGAAAAAGAGCAGTACCCAGTGCATATACTACAGAGAGGTTCTCAGAGCTAGACGGTAAGCCCTCTGGCTCAGGAACTCTGCCTCTTGGAGCTGGAAGGAAAGTTAGTTGCTGCTAAACATTGCTTCCTTTGTAGAGACTCAAGCCATAAAAATCTTACATCTTTGGGAAAATATCCACAGTTTAGCTGCAGTCCACAAAATGACTGTTTGTTTCTTTGATCTTAGTGTTACAATTAGAATGAGGGTTCTGGAGTGAGAGAGATATTATACCAGGAAGCATTTTTCCTGGCTAGGGAAACCAGGACATTGTTTCCTTCATACCAATTTACATCACAAATAATTAAATACTTCAGTATCACAATGGATACTCTAGAAAACACTTGAAGAAAGGCATATCCCCGAAGGTACTGAAGACAGGTAACTCCAACAAGAGGCAGTTACTTTTCATAAGGCTTAGTTCTATTTAGTCAGCACTGAAGGAGTAAGCACTTGAAACCTATCTGGAAGAAGAAATCGATGGGCTGCAATGTCATGTTCTACTTTTCCCTTAGTGTTACTGATGTTTCTAGGAAGGGAGGGAGCTCTTTCATTTTCATTTAGAAAGAAGATGAAAGTGAATCAGAAAAGTCAGAGTACTGAAACCAAATGTCATCTTAAGAAGAGACCCTGTCAGCTTAGCTAAATAGTAATTCCTTCCAGTCATATTCCTCAATCCTTATCTGCTTCATAGGTTATATTATCGATGACAAAAAGGACTGTAACTCTAACATGGACAATGGCTACAGAAAACACTAATTTTTGATATGAAAATTATTCATGATGGAATTGGTTAGATATAAAAGTTGGCTTACAATCAGAAGAGAAATCTTAAACTTGAGAGTCTTTAAGAATACATTTTTGGCACTTACCTTTCATCTTATCTTACTAATGATGGAATCTCAAACATAAAAAAATTCAATTTCTTAGGAAATTATAAAGCTTCTGAAGAACTAAATTTTTCTTAGTAAGCCTGGCAATGAGGTTTGCAGGCCCTATCACATGGCAAGCATAATATCTAAAAACAAAAGTCAGGCCAGGCATGGTAGCTCATGCTTGTAATCCCAGCACTTTGGGAGGCCACAGCGGGCAGATCACTTGAGGTCAGGTGTTTGACACCGCCTGGCCAACATTGTGAAACACTGTCTCTCAAACAAAACAAAACAAAACAAACAAACAAAAAGTCTTTGTTCTATAAAGTAAGAACTACCTGAGAGCAAATAAGAAAAAAGAAAATTAGAAACCAGCACTTGTTTTCTTCTGCCAGAAAATATATGCCAAAGAATACAAAAGGGCTATAGGATAGAAATAAAATCTCCACACATCTCAGACTGATGCAGAACAAGCTGTTTTATTCCTCAGATATGCAGGTCTCTGCAATGAAACTGCACACAAGGCCGGGCGTGGTGGCTCACACCTGTAATCCAAGCACTTTGGAGGCCAAGGTGGGCGGATCGCCTGAGGTCGGGAGTTCAAGACCAGCCTGACCAACATGGTGAAACCTCATCTTAAAAAAAAAAAAAAAGAAAAGAAACTTCAAACAAGATCCTACTTGTTGCTTGCCACAGGGAGTACTGTTAAATGTAAAGAGACTGGGGCCTGTCATTACTTTTAGTGAAGAGGCACAGATTACCCAATTGGGCACCAGTAAGACTGGAGCACTTCAGAATCAGACAACTGGGATGGAACTATATAGGGCCTACCAAACTGAGAATCAACCTTGTGTACCATAAACGTGCTTTTCTTCAGAAGGCCAATCCCACAGGGACTAGGACACAGACCCCATCAGCAATGGTAGTAGCCACATAGCTAATAGAAATACACATGATTCAGTGATATGTGGTATCAGGTGCAACTGACCACAACCGTCTCATGGTAAATATAAAAGCCTTGAGAGGCTTAAATGCTATCTAAATATTCTGAAGGAATCTCTTTTCCCAACAACCACCTCATATGTCTAATATTAAATACTAAAATGTTCAGAGTATACTAACTAGATAAGACACATTTAAATGAAACATTTGCCCAAAAAGGATGCCAAACATTAGAGTTTGTTTTATTGCATGACGTTTGCATAAGAAAAAATGTTATTGAAAACTGTAAGGCATCATGCAATCATTGAATAAGCTAATTATTAACTGTACACTTAAGATAGGTGGACATATATCTAAAATTTAAAAACTAGTTCCAAAAAAGTACATAAAAAATTTAACATGATGAGCTTTTAAATATGGTTTATATTTATAATTTCATGTTATTAAAAAGTGCTTCAAATGTACTGCTGGAAAGTTGCTCTTTATAAATGGCCCTGGGGTGATGTCAGATTATAAACTGTAAAAACCAATTACTTTTACAGAATTAGAAAGCTAACATTGTGATACTGAAACTTACTTGAATCAGTTTTCAATTCTCACTCCAATTAAGTTGATATAATATTAATAATCTAAAAAACATGTTTTATAACCAGCAAAAGTCTATTGAATTCAAGTTATGCATGTTGAGCAATCAAATCTCTAAGTAAGCCTGAACGTTGAGACCTGGAACCACGGTGGGTCTGTGTTAATCAATGTACTGTGCCATCCAGCGGAAGCCTTCTCCGTAACCTTGTCTTTTGAGCACACTACACATGAAAACTTCTAAAGGTCGGGCATTCAGTTCTTTCAGAGATACACTCCCCTAGAATAGAAGAGAGATATTTTGTTGGAATTTTATGAAATTAATAAAGCCCCACATCCCAGCAGAATTATAGGTTCTATTTTAGAACAAAGAGTGACTGTGATAAATCCGTGTCTATGTTAAAGTCATGGCTGCTTGGCATCCAGGTCCCCTAAACAACACAAAAAGCCGCCTTCTCTCATGCTACTTTAGGACAGGATGACCACTCAGTGGGAAAGAGGTGAGCTTCAGAGATACCCGAGGATGAAATAATCTGACTTAGTAAAAACCCAAACTGACTTCACTAATATTAAACACAAACACTCCCTGAGAAGGTTTGTGACCAAACAAGGCATTTCCTAAAATTAATGTGGAGCAAATTTATAAAAAAGACAGAAAACAGACCAAAGTCTACTTTGTCTAACGTAAGAGCCTCCTGCTATATGCTGCAGTATTTCTCCACCCTGAAATAGTATATGGAAACTAAGAAAATTTTGTGAACCTCTGGGGTTCTTCCATTGTTTATCTGGAATTTTTCTTTTTTTTTTTTTTTTTTTTTTTGAGACGGAGTTTCGCTCTTGTTACCCAGGCTGGAGTGCAATAGCGCGATCTCGGCTCACCGCAACCTCCGCCTCCTGGGTTCAGGCAATTCTCCTGCCTCAGCCTCCTGAGTAGCTGGGATTACAGGCACGCGCCACCATGCCCAGCTAATTTTTTGTATTTTTAGTAGAGACGGGGTTTCACCATGTTGACCAGGATGGTCTCGATCTCTCGACCTCGTGATCCACCCGCCTCGGCCTCCCAAAGTGCTGGGATTACAGGCTCGAGCCACCGCGCCCGGCTATCTGGAATTTTTCAATGCTGATGTTTCCCCCAAAATAAATCCTAAGAAAAGTGAATACCAAAACAATGCATCTTAAAGCTTACTATAAAGTGTTATGTTCAGAAAACCCTAAAATATTCCTATGACCAGGTTTATGTCTTATTTATCTCTGATGAACTCAGGGGCCTAAACACCCTACTGCCATGCTTAAACACTCAAATACATCGTTTGGTGGCTGATTCTCAAAATGCATCATAAATAACTTTCAAAGCTTTAATTTAGTTTCCCATAAGCACAAGCCTTAGGCATAACTGATCCTTGACATTTTTATTGTCACCAAGAAAAGGTTTCATTCCATGGTAGAAAGAAATGAAGACACTAAGAAGACCCACATGTATAAATGACAGTTTTCTTTAAGAAAAAAGAATGATAAGGGGCGTGTATAGTTGGACAATAGTAATTTAAGAAGACATTTTTACCATAGAATTAAACATTCACACCCATCATAATCTTTTTTTTTTTTTTTTTTTTTTACCTTTCCTGTTGTCTGACCATATAAACCAAACATCTCTCGTAACCTCTCTTCACTGATGGCTTCAGGTCTGTCGATCTTATTCCCAAGAATTAGTATAGGCACATTAGCAATGGTTTCATCTGTCATTAGTGACTGTAAAAAACAAGAGTTGATATGAAACCATCCAAAGAGCTTATTTTGATATGATAAAACAGTAAAGGACTCATTTTCTACCATATCATGTCATACCAACTTTCTTTGGCAAACTTTCCCCACATTTTAAAGTGACCTCAATGAAACCATTAGCTCAATTCTTCTGTCTTCCTAGGGCTCTTCCTGTAAATGTGTACTCTGCTCACCCTGTAAAGCAGTGACATAGAGTGTATAGAGTCAGCACCTTAGAGGTGGACATATCTGGTTTCACTTCTGGTTCTACTGCTGGTTTTTTTTTTTTTTGAGATGGAGTTTCGCTCTTGTTACCCAGGCTGGAGTGCAATGGCGCGATCTCGGCTCACCGCAACCTCCGCCTCCTGGGTTCAAGCAATTCTCCTGCCTCAGCCTCCTGAGTAGCTGGGATTACAGGCACGTGCCACCATGCCCAGCTAATTTTTTTTGTATTTTTAGTAGAGACGGGGTTTCACCATGTTGACCAGGATGGTCTCGATCTCTCGACCTTGTGATCCACCCGCCTCGGCCTCCCAAAGTGCTGGGATTACAGGCTTGAGCCACCGTGCCCGGCCTTTTTTTTTTTTTTTTTTTTTTTGAGATGGAGTCATGCCCTGTCACCCAGCCTGGAGTACAATGGTGCAATCTCAGCTCCCTGCAACCTCCACCTCCTGGGTTCAAGCAATTCTCCTACCCCAGCCTCCTGAGTAGCTGGAATTACAGACATGCACCACCACATCCAGCTAATTTTTGTATTTTTAGTAGAGACAGGGTTTCACCATGTTGGCCAGGCTGGTCTCAAACCTCTGACCTCACAGTCCACCCGCCTCAGCCTCCCAAAGTGCTAGAATTATAGGCATGAACCACCAGGCCCAGCCTCTACTGCTTCTGAGATGTGACTTTGGGCAAGTTAGCCTGACTGAAGCTCTAGAGAGAATTAGGAACAGTAGTATCTTCCCTATGAAGTTGAGAATTAAATGAAGTAACACACACAGTCTCTGGAGCAAAGTAGGAACTCAGGCATTCTCTGTCCTTGTTTTGTAACCATAGAGCCTACCTGGACTTTTCCACATGTACAAGTATTTGTTTGCCTGCTCTGGGCAGAGGCATGGTAGGATCAACCTTCAATCAGAGCATGGACCTGCTTACTCTGTGGCCCCAGATCTAGTGTTGACCTTGTCTGTGGCTGTTGGGCCCCTTTACAAAGTATGTGACCTGGGATACTGGAGAGGAGGTAGCTACATATGCCTCTGCTCACTCCTGGGAGTAGGGTCAAGGATGGCATGTCCTATCATTTCAGGGTATGGCTTAAGAAATAGCATCCTGGCGCCGGGCACGGTGGCTCAAGCCTGTAATGCCAGCACTTTGGGAGGCCGAGGCGGGTGGATCACGAGGTCAACAGATCGAGACCATCCTGGTCAACATGGTGAAACCCCGTCTCTACTAAAAATACAAAAAATTAGCTGGGCATGGTGGCACGTGCCTGTAATCCCAGCCACTCAGGAGGCTGAGGCAGGAGAATTGCCTGAACCCAGGAGGCGGAGGTTGCGGTGAGCCAAGATCGCGCCATTGCACTCCAGCCTGGGTAACAAGAGCGAAACTCCGTGTCACAAAAAAAAAAAAAAAAGAAATAGCATCCTGGCATGACCAGGGATTCAAGATCAACCCACTTCAGGAATACAGCAGACATAAAATATACTAAAAAGGTATATTCTGTACAGGTTGAGCTTCTTGTCTTCATAAAATAAAGGATGTCTGTATTGATACTTCCTCAATAGCTATAGTTACTCAAAGTTACTCCCTCTGCATTTTTTTTTTTTTTTTTTTTTTTTTGAGATGGAGTCTCACTCTGTCACCAGGCTGGAGTGCAGTGGCATGATCTCAGCTCACTGCAACCTCCACCTTCCCGGTTCAAGTGATTCTCCTGCCTCAGCCTCCCGAGTAGCTGATACTACAGGCATGCACCACCATGCCCAGCTAATTTTTATATTTTTTGTAGAGACGGGGTTTCACCATGTTGGTCAGGATGGTCTCGATCTCTTGATCTAGTGATTTACCCACCTCGGCCTCCCAAAGGGCTGGGATTACAGGCATGAGCCACCAAGCCCGGCCCCTGTGTACTCAGAAATCATCACTTAAAGCAATCATTTAGCTCAACAAATTGCGAAGAGTTTCATCAGAGACTGCAGAAAAGCAGCACTCTAATAACGGTATCTCCAACCAACTTCTTCAGACTTACCACAGTGATTTGACTATATTTATTTTCAATTATTTAACTTACATCAAGTTCTTCTTTTGATTCTAACAGCCTTTCATGGTCTGCACAATCCACCAGAAATACAATGCCATTGATAGCAGGAAGGTAGTTTTTCCACACTCTTCGAGCTAACAAAAACAATCAGGAGTTAGAGTTTATTTGCTGGTCAAACCCAGCAGATGATTTAAGCAAAGAGTCCAACAAGATTTCAAGGGCAGTAATCCCTTAGCTGCTGCTACTTCACAATATATTCACGTCAATCTTTTACCCAATGGTGCCAATTTCTTCTGAGAACACCAAAGAGGAAATTTCAGGCTTTCCTTGATTGTGGGCAAGTCAAATACTTTAGTCTCCTCCAATTATAGTATGTAAGAAGTAGAATATTTAAAAGAATAAAAATAGGGCTGGGCGCGGTGGCTCAAGCCTGTAATCCCAGCACTTTGGGAGGCCGAGGCGGGTGGATCACGAGGTCAAGAGATCGATACCATCCTGGTCAACAAGGTGAAACCCCGTCTCTACTAAAAATACAAAAAATTAGCTGGGCATGGTTGTGCGTGCCTGTAATCCCAGCTACTCAGGAGGCTGAGACAGGAGAATTGCCTGAACCCAGGAGGTGGAGGTTGCGGTGACCGGAGATCGCGCCATTGCACTCCAGCCTGGGTAACAAGAGCGAAACTGCATCTCAAAAAAAAAAAAAAAAAAAAAGAATTAAAAATAAAAAAAGTAGAATATTTGCCACCACCAGTGCATAATGATACATGTTAAATTTACTGGAGGACTATTACTATATAAATCTAAAATATAAGCCGTAAAAAACCTACATGTATATGTAATTAAATATATATAAAGTGTGTATTTATATTACACATATATGCAGTGTTCATTTTTTGACATTTCTAGTTACTAGATTTTTTTTTTTTTTTTTGCCACAGTAAATTTGGAATGAGTGACAAAAGGAAATTAATACTAGGTGTAAGTGTGTTAAATTAGAATAAGGCCAGGTATTGTGCTCACGCCTGTAATCCCAGCACTTTGGAAGGCCAAGGCGGGTGGATTGCTTGAGCTCAGGAGTTCAGACCAGCCTGTACAACATGGTGAAACCTCATCTCTACAAAAAATACAAAAAATTAGCCAAGGCCAGGTGAAGTGGCTCATGCCTGTAATCCCAGCACTTTAGGAGGCTGAGATGGATTGATCACCTGAGGTCAGGTGTTCGAGAACAGCCTGGCCAACATGGCGAAACCCTGTCTCTATTAAAAACACAAAAATTAGCTGGGCATGGTGGCATGTGCCTATGATCCCAACTACTTAGGAGTTTGAGGCAAGAGATTTGCTTGAAACTGGGAGGCAGAGGTTACTATGAGCTGCGATCGCACCACTGCACTCCAGCCTGGGTGACATAGTGAGACTCTATCTCAAAAAAAAAAAAAAAAAATTAGCCAAGTGTGGTGGCTTGCACCTGCCCAGCTACTTGGGAGGCTGAGGTGGGAGGATGGAGCACAGGAGGCAGAGTTTGCAGTGAGCCAAGATCACACCACTGCACTTCCAGCCTGGGCGACAGAGCCAGACTGTCTCAAAAAAAAAGTAAATAAATAAAAATTTTTTTAAAAAAGCAAACTGTTTTACTCACAACAGAAAAGAAGATCAAATGTTGATAATTAAGGTCTATGAAATCATAAGAGCAATTTTTTTCCATAACTTTCTTCACTGACTTGAGTTTTACGACGTATCTCTCTCTCTCCCTTTTTTTTTTTTTCTTAAAGAGACAGGGTCTTGATCTGTCATCCAGGTTAGTTCACTGCAGCCTCAATGTCTTGAGCTCAAGCCATCTTCCCATCTCAGCCTCCTGAGTAGCTGGGACTATCGGTGTCTATCATCATGCCCCATTAATTTTTTAAATTCTGTGTAGAGACAGGGTCTTGCTATGTTGCACAGCTGGTCTGGAACTCCTGGCTTCAAGTGATCCTCCTACCTCAGCCTTTCAAAGCACTGGAATCACAAGCCTGAGCCCCCATTTCCACCCACTATGACATATCCTGAAAACAATATAGAAATGAAGTCTCAGACAATTCCATCAGATTCCAATTCTAATAATCAAATTCTAGAAATTATTTTGCATACATACCAGGCAATTATAGGTCTCAAATGTGCTTTCACTAGCAAGAACTGCTTACAGCCTTTTCAACTATATGTCATATCAGGTCTTTAGAATGCCCACCAACTCAGTTATGACTTACTATGAGCTAAATGTTGCCAAGTACTTTTGGGGATATAAAAAATGAACAGGCCAGGTATGGTGGCTCACACCTATAATCCCAGCACTTTAGGAAATTGAGGTAGGAGGACTGCTTGAGGCCAGGACTTCAAAATCAGCCTGGGCAAGATAGTGAGATCCCATCGCTAAAAAAATTCTTTTTAATTAAAAAAAATATAGCCGGGCGCGGTGGCTCAAGCCTGTACTCCCAGCACTTTGGGAGGCTGAGGCGGGTGGATCATGAAGTCGAGAGATCGAGACCATCCTGGTCAACATAGTGAAACCCCATCTCTACTAAAAATACAACAAATTAGCTGGGCATGGTGGCACGTGCCTGTAATCCCAGCTACCCAGGAGGCTGAGGCAGGAGGATTGCCTGAACCCAGGAGGCGGAGGTTGCGGTGAGCCGAGATCGCGCCATTGCACTCCAGCCTGGGTAACAGGAATGAAACTCCGTATCAAAAAAAAAAAATATATATATATATATAGGATTTTAGTCCCTGCAAGTTTAATATAGGAGATAAAGCAGTCTTTCTAAACTTGTTATAGACATTTACACAAATGCACTAAGTGCTATGAAGTACAGCTGAGAGCACTCCAACTGAGAATGGATTCCCAAGGGAGGTAGGAGCACTGGGCCCTGAAGGGGTCACTCATGTGCGGATGGGGATGGCATGAGAAAAGCATAGAGGTAGAAAAACACCAAGAAGACCTGATTTGGTTGAAGTAAAAAGAATGGGAAGGGGAATAGCAGGAAATGAAGACCAGAAAAGTAGGTCAGGTGTTGGCTCACACCTATAATCCCAACACTTTTGCGAGGCTGAGCTTGGAGGATTGCTTGAGCCCAAGAGTTGGAGACCAGCCTGGGCAACTTAGTGAGACCCTGTCTCTATAAAATAATAATTCTTAAAACCCAGAAAAGTAAACTGGGACCAGATCATAGAGATCCTGAATGCCAGGTTAATAAGTTTGGCATATTTTGCAGGTAATGAGTTAGCCACTTAAAGTTTTTTTTTTGTTTGTTTTTAACACAGCATTAACATGTTCATAACATGATTATAACAGTAGGAAGCAGACTGAAGTAGAGAGAATGGAAGCTAAATTTTACTCAAACACTTTACCACCAAAAGCATTTCCAATTTTAATTGACCAGAAGTATCATGAAAATCTCCCTTTGCTTTTCTTTATTTTTTATTTTACTGGTTTTCTTTTCTTTTCTTTTCTTAACACCCTTTGCTTTTAAAGCATTTAATGGGGAGTAATAATCCCTACATTTTAAATCTACTCTGGCCTTCAGTGAATAGAATGAGATGTCATATACTGGAACTAATGGCCACATTTTTGTTAAGTTAAAATAAAACAAAGTGTTACTTCAGGTTTTCTAATTCTGGAAAAAAAAAAAAAGAAAAGAAAAGAAAAGAAAAGAAAGTGACTATAAGAGTAATAGAATCTTGTGGCCGGACGCGGTGGCTCAAGCCTGTAATCCCAGCACTTTGGGAGGCCGAGGCGGGTGGATCATGAGGTCGAGAGATCGAGACCATCCTGGTCAACATGGTGAAACCCCGTCTCTACTAAAAATACAAAAAATTAGCTGGGCATGGTGGTGCGTGCCTGTAATCCCAGCTACTCAGGAGGCTGAGGCAGGAGAATTGCCTGAACACGGGAGGCGGAGGTTGCGGTGAGCCGAGATCGCGCCATTGCACTCCAGCCTGGGTAACAAGAGCGAAACTCCGTCTCAAAAAAAAAAAAAAAAAAAAAAAGAGTAATAGAATCTTACCTTGAACATGGCGAAACCCCGTCTCTACCAAAAATACAAAAATTAGCCAGGCGTGGTGGTACATGCCTGTAATCCCAGTTACCGGGGAGACTAAGGCATGAGGATCACTTGAACCCGGGAGACAGAGGTTACAGTGGGCTGAGATCACACCACTGCACTCCAGCATGGGAGACAGAGTGAGATCCTGTCTCAAAAAACAGAAAGAATCTTACCTTGAACATGTCCACCCAGATCAAAAGTTGTAAACGTCATGCCAGCAATGGTCAGTTCTTCTGAAGCTAAATAAGAATTTAAAATATTTTTACAAACCCATTAATAGCTTATATTACTACTTAATGTTTGATTTACTTTTATTGTAAATAAGGTCAAATCAATCATTTAGGAACTGGTACAATAATACTTTTTATAATCAGATATACACCAATTCATATTGACATTGTAACAAATAATTGTAATATTCAGTTCTGGTATTCATTACCCACCATAAATCCAGCATTTATTTTTCTTTCTCTATTTTTTTTTTTTTTTTTTGAGACAGAGTTTTCACTCTTGTTACCCAGGCTGGAGTGCAATGGCACGATCTCGGCTCACCGCAACCTCCGCCTCCTGGGTTCAGGCAATTCTCCTGCCTCAGCCTCCTAAGTAGCTGGGGTTACAGGCACGTGCCACCATGCCTGCCTAATTTTTTGTATTTTTAGTAGAGACGGGGTTTCACCACGTTGACCAGGATGGTCTTGATCTGTTGACCTCGTGATCCACCCGCCTCGGCCTCCCAAAGTGCTGGGATTACAGGCGTGAGCCACCGCGTCCGGCCTTTTTTTTTTTTTTTGAGACAGTGTTTTGCTCTATCGCCAGGCTGGAATTCCATTCAGTGGCGTCATCTTGGCTCCCTGCAACCTCTGCCTCCTGGATTCAAGCGATTCTCCTGCCTCAGCCTCCTGAGTAGCTGGGACTACAAGCATGCATCACCATGCCTGGCTAATTTTTGTATTATATTTTGTATTTTTAGTAGAGATAGCTTTCACCACGTTGGTCAGGATGGTCTCTGTCTCTTAACCTTGTGATCCACCTGATCTATATTGATCATGTTAGACCATCCTGGATAAGAGTGTGTAATTCTTTGCAGTAAGGTTGCTGTAGGATTATCTACTCAGAGTTGGTGTTTAACAGTATTGGTGTTTAATGTATATTGGTGTTTAATGTTGACTACTAAATTCAAAACTCCTTTTTTCAGACCCTATCAGATTTGGATATGTAGGTATGAGCCACCAAGGCTGGCCAACAACCTAAGTTTTAGTGTTAACTACTTTAGTCCAAGATACTTTATCTTGTTAAAACAAGATATCCTCCCACCTGTGCCTCCCTAAGTGCTGAGATTATAAGCATGAGCAACCACACCTGGCCCAGGTGGTCTTTCTAAAAGAACAAGAACACACAAATTTTTTTTTTTTTTTTTTTTTTTTTTTTTTTTTTTTTTTTTTTTTGAGACGGAGTTTCACTCTTGTTACCCAGGCTGGAGTGCAATGGCGCGATCTCGGCTCACCGCAACCTCCGCCTCCTGGGCTCAGGCAATTCTCCTGCCTCAGCCTCCTGAGTAGCTGGGATTACAGGCAGGCGCCACTATGCCCAGCTAATTTTTTGTATTTTTAGTAGAGACGGGGTTTCACCATGTTGACCAGGATGGTCTCGATCTCTCGACCTCGTGATCCACCCGCCTCAGCCTCCCAAAGTGCTGGGATTACAGGCTTGAGCCACCGCGCCCGGCTACACACAAATTATTTTAAAAATTGTTTTAAAACTTTCCATTTTTGGCCAGGCACAGTGGCTCACCCCTGTAATCCCAGCACTTTGGGAAGCCAAGGCAGGCTGATCATCTGAGGTCAAGAATTAGAGACCAGCCAGACCAACATGGAGAAAAAAATTTTTTACTAAAAATAAAAAATTAGCAGGGCATGGTTGCCCATGCCTGTAATCCCAGTTACTCGGGAGGCTGAGGCAGAAGAATTGCTTGAACCCAGTAGGCAGAGGTTGCAGTGAGCCAAGATGGCGCCACAGCACTCCAGCCTGGGCAACAAGAGCAAAACTCTATCTCAAAAAAACAAAAAAACAAAAAAACAAAACACTGAATTTTTGGCTGGGTGCAGTGGCTAACATCTGCAATCCTAGCACTTTAGGTGGCTGAGGCAGGCGAATTGCCTGAGGTCAGGAGTTTAGGACCAGAGTAGCTAACATGCTGAAACCCCTTACCTACTAAAAATACAAAAATTAGCTGGGTGTGGTAGCACGTGCCTGTAATCCCAGCTACTAGGGAGGCTGAGGCAGGAGAATTGCTTGAACCTGGGAGGCAGAGGTTGCAATGAGCTGAGATCATGAGACTGTACTCCAGCCTGGGCAACAGAGCAAGACTCTGTCTCAAAAAAAAAAAGAAAAAAAAAAGATATGAGTACTACTTCAAGATCTAAATATACTCCCTGAGAGCCAGGTCACATATAATTTACTATATTATTTTAGGAACAGGTCAAGTCACCTGATCATAATTTATCTACCAGAAAACGCCCCCAAAACAAAAAACTTGCCCACGTGTGGTGGCTCATGCCTATAATACCAATACTTTGGGAGGCCAAGACAGGCTGATCACTTGAGCAAAGGAGTTCGACACCAGCATGGGCAACATACTGAAACCTGGTCTCTGAAAAAAATATAAAAATTAAGTGGGCGTGGTGGCATATGCCTGTGGTCCCAGCTACTTGGGAGGCCATGTCAAGAGGATAGCTTTAGCCGGGAAGGGAGAGGTAGCACTGAACTCTGATCATACTACTGCACCTTATGCAGCCTGGGCAACAGAGCAAGACAAAACATAACACTTTTGGTTAGTGTGTGTGACTTAGCATCACTTGATAAGTATAACATTGTATGTGGGAATATACTTACTGGGATGTAATGTTGGGACATGTTGTCCAAGTCTGTCATCTTTTAGCATGTGTAGCAATGTTGTTTTTCCTGCATTATCCAATCCAAGAAATACCAATTTACCAGTCTTCTTATATAATCCTGCAAAGTAAGAGCTATGATTGGTCAAAGTGATATCTGACACTGATTATCCACATGAATTTAAATTTGACCCGATTAAGTTTGGAGTTGTAAACCTATTTTCGATTTTAAAAGAACTATTTTAAATCTATTCATGGCTGGGCACAGTGGCTCACACCTGTAATCCCAGCACTTTGGGAGGCTGAGGGAGGCCAATCATCTGAGGTCAGGAGTGCAAGAACAGCCTAACCAACATGGTGAAACCTTGACTTTACTAAAAATATAAAAATTAGCCAGTTGTGGTGGTATATGCTTGTAATCCCAGCTACTCGGGAAGCTGAGGCAGGAGAATCACTGGAAACCCAGGAGGCAGAGGTTGCAGTGAGCTGAGATCATGCCATTGCACTCCAGCCTAGGCAACAGAATGAGACTCTGTCTCATAAATAAATAAATAAATAAATAAATAAATCTGTTCATGATTTGGGACTTCAAATAATTATAAAACCAAACTTCGGCCGGGCGCGGTGGCTCAAGCCTGTAATCCCAGCACTTTGGGAGGCCGAGGCGGGTGGATCACGAGGTCGAGAGATCAAGACCATCCTGGTCAACATGGTGAAACCCCGTCTCTACTAAAAATATAAAAAATTAGCTGGGCATGGTGGCACGTGCCTGTAATCCCAGCTACTTAGGAGGCTGAGGCAGGAGAATTGCCTGAACCCAGGAGGCGGAGGTTGCGGTGAGCCGAGATCGCGCCATTGCACTCCAGCCTGGGTAACAAGAGCGAAACTCCGTCTCAAAAAAAAAAAAAAAAAAAACCAAACTTCGACTAAGTCAATAGACTATGTGTGTTGCCTTAACATATCTACAATGCCAAAATGCTGACTACTTTAATTTTAGAAGTATCAACCAGGTATTGATTGATAAATTGATAAACAGAAAAAAGGCAACATTGACCAATTTATAATAGACTGGAATTGAACTGCTAAATTTCCTATTGAACTTACTTACTTTATTTATTTATTTAGAGACAGGTTCTCACTCTGCCTAGGCTGAAGTACAATGGCATTACTACAGCTTGCTGCAGCCTCAACTTCCTGGGCTCAAGCAATCCTCCCACCTCAGCCTCCTGAGTAGCTGAGACTACAGGTATGTACCACTACACCCGGCTAAATTTTGTATTTTTTGGTAGAGATGGGGTTTTACCATGTTAGCCAGGCTGGTCTTGAACTCTTGGCCTCAAGTGAACTGCCCACCTTGGCCTCCCAAAGTGCTGAGATTATAGGCATGAGCCACATGCCCAATCAAACTTTTTAATTTAATTAATTTATTTTTTTGAGACAGAGTCTCTGTTGCCCAGGCTAAAGTGCAGTGGCGCAATCTTGGCTCACGGCAACCTCTGCCTCCCAGGTTCAAGTGATTCTGCCTCAGTCTCCTGAGTAGCTGAGACTACAGGTGCATGCCACCACGTCCGGCTAATTTTTTGTATCTTTAGCATAGATGAGGTTTCACCATGTTCGTTAGCCAGGATGGTCGCAATCTCCTGACCTTGTGATTCACCTGCCTTGGCCTTCCAAAGCGCTGGGATTACAAGTGTGAGCCACCATGCCCAGCCATCCAAACTATTTTTTACGTGTTTAATTGTCTAACCTCCACAGAATTATATGAAAGAAGACTAGTATTAACTTATAGTAGCAGCTGAAAAAATATTTAATCAATAAATAAGCTTTTTTCTGGTTCAAGTTGGCATTTGAAATAAACATTTAAAGACATTAGGTAATTATACTTTTGGGGCATTTGTTTTCTAATAAATTCATACTAAAATAACACCCAGTCTTTATCCATGCTTAACTCTAAGAAATAAACTCTTTTTTTTTTTTTTTTTGAGATGGAGTTTCGCTCTTGTTACCCAGGCTGGAGTGCAATGGCGCGATCTCGGCTCACCGCAACCTCCGCCTCCTGGGTTCAGGCAATTCTCCTGCCTCAGCCTCCTGAGTAGCTGGGATTACAGGCATGCGCCACCATGCCCAGCTAATTTTTTGTATTTTTAGTAGAGACGGGGTTTCACCATGTTGACCAGGTTGGTCTCGATCTCTCGACCTCGTGATCCACCCACCTCGGCCTCCCAAAGTGCTGGGATTACAGGCTTGAGCCACCGCGCCCGGCCCTAGAAATAAACTCTTTGATGTCCTAGTCTTTATTTTTTGGGGGAGAACTATATATATTTTTTATCATTAAAGAATCTACTTGTTTGACTGTCACTACTTCTATGAGTGTCACGAAAAAGCAATTTGCCCAAGATTATATAATTTAAAAGCAATACAGCGGGCCGGGCGCGGTGGCTCATGCCTGTAATCCCAGCACTTTGGGAGGCCGAGGCGGGTGGATCACGAGGTCAACAGATCGAGACCATCCTGGTCAACATGGTGAAACCCCGTCTCTACTAAAAATACAAAAAATTAGCTGGGCATGGTGGCGCGTGCCTGTAATCCCAGCTACTCAGGAGGCTGAGGCAGGAGAATTGCCTGAACCCAGGAGAGGGAGGTTGCGGTGAGCCGAGATCGCGCCATTGCACTCCAGCCTGGGTAACAAGAGCGAAACTCCGTCTCAAAAAAAATAAAATAAAAGCAATACGGCTAGGCGTGGTGGCTCATGCCTATAATCCCAGCACTTTGGGAGGCCCAGGTAGGCCAATCACAAGGTCAGGAGTTCAAGACCAGCCTGGCCAACATGGTGAAACCTCGTTTCTACTAAAAATACAAACATTGGCCGGGCGTGGTGGCTCACGCCTGTAATCCAAGCACTTTGGAGGCGAAGGCGGGTGGATCACCTGAGGTCAGGAGTTCAAGACCAGCCTGACCAACATGGTGAAACCTCGTCTTAAAAAAAATAACAAATAAAAAAATATAAACATTAGTCAGGCATGGTGGCAGGCGCTTGTAATCCCAGCTACTTGGGAGGCTAAGGCAGGAGAATCACTTGAACCCAGGAAGCAGAAGTTGCAGTTAGCCAAGATAATGCCATTGCACTCCAGCCTGGGGGACAAGAGTGAGACTTCCTCTCAAAAAAAAGAGAAAGAGATGCAATGAGTAATTGAACATACTTGTATAATTACAAAGCCCATATTCTTAACTATTGCCTCATATATAAAGAAGCTCGACACAAATAAACCCTAATATATAAATAAGATAAAAGGAGATAACTAAGAAAGCAAAGGACCAATGTTACCTAAAAACTGTAGCAAGGAGGCTGAGCACAGACAGTGGCTCATGCCTGTAGTCCCAGCGATTTGGGAGGCCGAGGTAGATGGATCATTTGAGATCAGGAGTTCAAGACCAGCCTGGCCAACATGGTGAAACCCCATCTCTGCTAAAAATACAAAAAGTAGCTGGGCAGGGTGGTACACGCCTATAGTCCCAGCTACTTGGGAGGCTGAGGGAGGAGAACTGCTTGAACCCGGGAGGCAGAGGTTACAGTGAGCTGAGATCGCACCACTGCACTCCAGCCTAGGCGACAGAGTGAGACTCAGTGTCTCCCCCTCAACAACAACAACAACAAAAAACTGTAGCAAGGATGGGCACAATGGCTCACACCTGTAATCTTAGCACTTTGGGAGGCTGAGGTGGAGGGATCACCTGAGCTCAGGAGTTCAAGACAAGCCTGGCCAACATGGTGAAACCCTATCTCTACAAAAAATACAAAAATTAGCTGGTATGGTGGCACACACCTGTAGTCCCAGCTACTCGAGAGGTTGAGGCAGAAGAATGGCTTGAACCTGGGAGGCGGGGATTACAGTGAGAGATCATGCCACTGAACTCCAGCCTGGGTGATAAAGCAAGACTCTGCCTCAAAAACAAAGACACAGAAAACCAGCCTGGGCAACATAGCAAGACCCCATCTCTATAAAATTTAAAAAAAAATTCCTGGGCAAACACATCTTATTTAGCAGATTATAAACTGCTATTTATGGTATTCAAGGTACTTTATGGAACATGCATTTTAATAATAAAAATAACATACTGAATTCCTGTAAGGATTAAATGACATAAAGCATTAAAGCACATAGGTAAACTGGCTAATAAATGGTAAATATTTCTATTAGTAATAATCCTAACACCTGAAGAGCCAGGAATTATTATTACCATTTTACAGATAAGGAAACTCAGGACCAAAGAGGATAACTATAGAGAACAAAGAACCAACATTACCTAAAAACTGTAGCACACTGCTGAAACCACTGTAAATCCAATCAAATATGAAGGACATATCCAAATCTGATAGGGTCTGAAAAAAGGAGTTTTGAATTTAGTAGTCAACATTAAACACCAATATACATTAAACACCAATACTGTTAAACACCAACTCTGAGTAGATAATCCTACAGCAACCTTACTGCAAAGAATTACACACTCTTATCCAGGATGGTCTAACATGATCTATATTGATATAGTGGCTCATGCTTGACATTCTAGCATTTTGGGAGGCCTAGACAGGAGGATCACTTGAGCTTAGGAGTTCAAGACCAGCCTGGGCAGCATGGCAAAACCCCATTTCTACAAAAAATAAAAAATCAGCTAGGCATAGTGGAATGCACTTGTGGTCTCAGCTATTTAGGAGGCTGAGGTGGGAGGATCACTTGAGCCCAGGAGGTTGAGGCTGCTGTAGGCCCTGATCACACCACTGCACCCCAGCTGGGTGCCAGAGTGAAACCCTGTCTTAAAAACAAAACAAGGCCAGGCGTGGTGGCCCACACCTGTAATTCCAGCACTTTAGGAGGCTGAGACAGGTGGATCACAAGGTCATGAGTTTGAGACCAGCCTGGCCAACATGGTGAAAACCTGTCTCTACTAAAAAAAAAAAAAAAAAAAAAATCAGCTGGGTGTGATGGCAGGCGCCTCTAATCCCAGCTACTCTGGAAGCTGAGGCAGGAGAATCACTTGAAACCAGAAGGTAGAGGCTGCAGTGAGCCAAGATCACGCCACTAAACTCCAGCCTGGGCTACACAGTGAGAATCCATCTCAAAAAAAAAAAAAAAAAAAGACATTAAAATACCAAGTAGAAACCATTCGTTGTCCACTAAAGTAGCAAAATGAAAAAGAATTTTAACAGCCAGGACCAAAAAGGATGTGGTAAAAGAGGCACATTTGGTGGCAGTATAAACTAGCAGAAAATCAATTAGGCAAAAATATATGTTACTATCATTTGACCCAAGAATTCTACTTTTAGAAATTATCTTATGCTTAGAGGCTTAGCTTTAAGAAGACCAAAAAAAAAAAAAAAAAAAAAAAAAAAAAAAAAAAAAAGGCCAGGCATGATGGCTCATGCTTGTAATCCAAGCACTTTGGAGGCCAAGGCAGGTGGATCACCTGAGGTTGGGAGTTCAAGACCAGCTCGACCAACATGGTGAAACCCCGTCTTAAAAAAAGAAAAAAAAAAAAAGACCAAAAAAAAAAAGAAATTATCTTAAATATAGGCCAGGCACAGTGGCTCACGTCTGTAATACTAGCAATTTGGGTGGCTGAAGCAGGTGGATCACTTGAGTTCAGGAGTTTGAGACCAGCCTGGCCAACATGGTGAAACCCTGTCTCTACTAAAAATACAAAAATTAGGTGGGTGTGATGATGCTCAACTATAGTTCCAGCTACTTCTGAGGTTGAAGCACGAGAACTGCTTGAGCCTGGGTGGCAGAGGTTGCACTGAGCTGAGATTGCACCACTGCCTGGGTGACAGAGCGAGACTCGTCTCAAAAAACAAAAACAAAAACAAAAAAGAAATTATCCTAAATATAGAGGCCAGGCCCGGTGGCTCACGCCTGTAACCCCAGTAATTTTTTAGACCGAGGCAGGCTGATTACTAGAAGTCAGGAGGTCAAGACCAGCCTGGCCAATGTGGTGAAACCTGGTCTCTACTAAAAACATGAAAATTAGGCGGGTGTGGCAGCGCATGCTTGTAATCCCAGCTACTCGGTAGGCTAAGGCAGAATCACTTGAACCCAGGAGGTGGAGGTTGCAGTGGGCCAAGACTGCACCACTGTACTCCAGCCTGGGTGAGAGAGTGAAACTTCCTCTCAGCAACAACAAAAATTAGCCATTGGTGGTGCCTGGCACCTGTACTCATTGCTACTAGGGAGGCTGAGGCATGAGAATCACTGGAACCAGAGAGGAGGAGGTTGCAGAGAGCCGAGATTGCACCACTGCACTCCGGCCTGGGCGGTAGAGTGAAACTGTCTGGAAAAAAAAAAAAGGAAATTATTCTAAATATAGAAAAGTTTCAAGTTTTATGTATAAAAATATGTATCACAAGTGTTACTTAAGAAAAATTTTAGGCTGGGTATGGTGGCTAGCATCTGTAATCCCAGCACTTTGGGAGGCACAGGCAGGAGGATGTTCAAGACCATCCTGCGCAACATAGTGAGACCCTGTCTCTACAACAAATGAAAAAAAAATTAGCCTAGCATGGTGGCACATGCTTGTAGTCCCAGTTATTCAGGATGCTGAGTTGGGAGGATCCCTTGAGCCTGAGAAGTCAAGACTGCAGTGAGTCATGATTGTACCACCACACTTCGGCCTGGGCAACAGAGCAACATCCTATCTCAAAAACCACAAAAATAACAAAATTATATATGGCCTATGAGGTATTTATCAAAACTTATTGGGAATTGTGGGGAGAGGGAGGAAGATACGTAGAGAGAAAAGAAAGAGAAGAAGAAAGGTTATTTTAATAAAGTTTCCAAGTCCAATTATACCCATGTGGAATAAAAACCCTTTTTCTCTTTATTTTGATCTTAAATTTCTGGGTATTATCTTTCTGTATTTTTCAAATTGTAATCACATTGTCAATTTTTTTGTTTTTTAGAGACAGGGGTCTCACTATGTTGTCCAGGTTGGTCTCAAACTCCTGGGCTCAAGCCATCCTCCCACCTGTGACTCCCAAAGTGCTGGGGATTACAGGCATGAGCCACCATGCCTGACCGTTACTGAATGGTACAAAAAATCTTTTAAATCACAGTAGAAAATTCGGTATTTACTTGATATATTCCTTGATAAACCGATAGGGTAATATGGAAAATAAGAGGGAAGAAAGCCTCTTAAGAAAGATCACATCCCAGCCCGGCCAACATGGTAAAACCCCATCTCTACTAAAAATAAAAAATTAGTCAGGCATGCTAGTGCACACATGTAATTCCAGCTACTAGGGAGGCTGAGGCAGGAGAATTGCTTGAACCCAGCGGGAGGAGGTTGCAGTGAGCCCAGATAGCGCCACTGTACTCCAGCCTGGGCAACCGAGTGAGATTCCGTCTCAAAAGAAAGAAAGAAAGGTGACATATACTTTGGACCAGGCATGCCTCACGCCGGTAATCCCAGGATTTCAGGAGGCCAAGGCAGGTGGATCACTTCGGGCCAGGAGTTCAATACCAGTCATGGCCAACATGGCAGAACCCTAACTCTACTAATAATACAAAAATTAGCTAAGAGTGGTGGTGCATGTATACAATCCTAGCTTCTCAGATGGCTGAGGCACAAGAATTGCTTGAGCCCAGGAGGCAGAGGCTGCAGTGAGCTGAAATCCAGCCACTACACTCCAGCCTGGGCGACAGGGTGAGACTCTTTCTCAAAAAAAAAAAAAAAAAAAAAAAAAAAATACACACACACACACACACACACACACACACAATCTTTCAGGGCTGGGTGTAGTGGCTTATGCCAGTAATCCCAGCTACTCAGGAGGCCAAGGTGGCAGGATCACTTGAGGCCAGGAGTTCAAGACCAGCCTGGACAACAAAGCAAGACCCCCATCTTTACAAAAAAAAATAAAAAATCTGCCAGGCATATTGGCATGCACCTGTAGTCCCAGCTACTCAGGAGGCTGAGGCAAGAGGATCGCCTGGGAGGCAGAGGTTGTAGTAAGCCGAGATTGTACTACTGCATTCCATTCTGGGCAATGGAGTGAGACCCTATCTCAAAAAATAAAAATAAAATCACTCCAGCTCATGACTCAAGTAATGCCTTCACCTCCTTCATAACCTACACCCAGCCATCCCTAGTCCTATTAATTTATTGCAGTGAAGACTCACCCTTTCTTTAGTTCTCACAGAAACCACCTAGTGAAGAATCTTATGTCACGTTCCTAAACAGCCATCTTAACCTCAAAATTTATCTCTACCCATCTCAGTTTTTTTGAGACGGAGTCTTGCTCTGTTGCCCAGGCTAGAATGCAGTGGTGTGATCTCGGCTCACTGAGCTCTGCCTCCTGGCTTTAAGTGATTCTCCTGCCTCAGCCTCCCAAGTAGCTGAGACTATAGGCCCCCACCACCATGCCCAGCTAATTTTTGTATTTTTAGTAGAGACGGGGTTTTGTCATGTTGGTCAGGCTGGTCTTGAACTCCTGACCTCAAGTGATCTACCTGCCTCAGCCTCCCAAAGTGCTGGTATTACAGGCATGAGCCACCGCACCTGGCCCACCTCTACCTATCTTGTACAGTGCCTCCAGAGCAGCTTTGCCAAAATATCATTTTGGACTTGACTTACAGTCAAGGTGACTGTAACTCTCACTTTGCTGGGGATATTCTCAGCTTCTGCCTATCTCAGTGTCGTAATTAATAGTGCTCCCTTTCTCTCAAAAGGGTCCTGGTTTAAGTGACAGATTATTTGGCCACCCTATACATGTGGATGGAGAGCCACCGGAGGTTTTTAAGCTGAGAAATCATTCTATTAACTCCTAGTCCATTTAGTATTCCAGAACTTATACTATCTACCCTGTAGCTCCCTTTCCAAATTTAACACATACTACTTTCTTTTTTTTTTTTTTTTTTTTTTTGAGACTGAGTTTCGCTCTTGTTACCCAGGCTGGAGTGCAATGGCACGATCTCAGCTCACCCCGCAACCTCCGCCTCCTGGGTTCAAGCAATTCTCCTGCCTCAGCCTCCTGAGTAGCTGGGATTACAGGCACGCGCCACCATGCCCAGCTGATTTTTTGTATTTTTAGTAGAGACAGGGTTTCACCATGTTGACCAGGATGGTCTCAATCTCTCGACCTCGTGATCCACCCACCTCGGCCTCCTAAAGTACTGGGATTACAGGCTTGAGCCACCGTGCCCGGCCCAACACATATTACTTTCTTACTTGCAGCTTTCCCTAGGTCAAAATAAACTGCTTGCCATTCATTGTGGATAACCCATACTTTGCCACCTTAAAACCTTTGCGGTGGGGCACAGTGGCTCACCCCTGTAATCACAGCACCCTGGGAGGCGGAGGCAGGCGAATCACGAGGTCAGGAGATCAAGA